TTCACACTATCTCGGCATCTCCAGGTTAGACCAACGCTTTTCAACGAAATGCTCTATTTAACATAACGCAAAACTCTTACCAAGCTTCATCAGAACAGGCAATATCTCACAATGGAATTTGTAGATAGCCTCTTGGCGAATCTTGAGCCAGAAGTCGAAGACCCAGAAGAAGGTCAGCTCACAAGATCCTGGCACTCATGCAGGTCTCACTAAAAATGCGTAGAAACTTTTATGCTGTACTCACAGCCTATCCCTTCCATGAATCTTGGCTTCGTCGACTCGCGTGCTACTTCCGTCGATGTTTCTGTTGCTGATCGGGACTACACTATTCATCAGTCTCCTACTGTTCTGTCATCGTCACGCGCAGGTGGAACAACAGGAGCTGGTAGATTTCCCCTCTCACACTCACTCCTCGAGAGGAAAGGCTGACTTGAGATACAGTATTATGGAAGATAGCCCCCAGCTTCGCCTCGTGGCTCTCTTCCCCGTCAAATCCCATTCTTGCCAAAACCATCCATTCAAACGCCTCCATACTTGAACTCGGCTGTGGCATTTCCCCCCTGAGTGCCCTAGCCCTTGGTCCACGCATAGCACGCTATGTCCTCACCGATCAGTCCTACGTGCAGCGTCTTGTTCAGCGCAATCTTGACGAGAATTTATCTTCTGCTTTGAGCTCGGGGACGTCTACGCCGACGAGTGGTCGAAGCAAGAAGAAACGAAGTGGCCACGGGCATGGGCATGGTGTAGCGCAACCCAACATTCGCTTCACAACACTTGATTGGGAGACGGATGAGGTAACTCCGTCTCTGACCGGTTCTGATGAGGCTCATAGCTTTGACGCCGTTGTCGCCTGTGACTGTGTTTATAACTATGCTTTGGTAGACCCCTTCGTTCAGGCATGTGCGGACGCATGCCGTTTAAGACTCTCTGATGAAGCCTTTGCTAATGATGAAGAAAAACGGCCGTGTGTCTGTGTCATTGGGCAACAACTTCGAAGTGACGAAGTATTCGAGTCTTGGTTAAAGGCGTTTTCAACTTCATTCCATGTCTGGAGAGTTTCTGATAGTGCACTGCCCGCAGAACTGCAATCTTCGGCCGGTTTCGTGGTACACGTCGGTATTCTTCTCGATGAGATCAAAAAGGGGGATTGATATTATTTGACCTAGTAGCACATTCTACCTAATCAGATAGCACGGGGGTGTACCAGACCATCGTTTTTTGAAGGAACCAGTTTTACATCGTATAAAAGAGTTTTCGTTTCAATAAGTTGCTATTAATCCTGATCGTTTTGATTCATAAATCTTCTCACGAGTTACGAGTTGACATGTACTCCAATTTTTTCGTTGCTTCAACATTCAATGTGAGCAAAGTCAGCAATCCTTTTTGTCCATCAACCCCAGCAAATACTTGAAACCACAAAAACCACATGCTAACCATCATATGCCAGTAGCCCAGATCCCTTCGCCGTTAAATAATTTCTTCATTTCTCATCTCTTGGTCCGAATCACCACTCGAGGGGCTCCTTTTTCTCCTCGCCCCGATTTGTTTTGGGAACAGGGACAGCCTTGGCGGCCAGCTTGCCACCCTGTCCGGGACGCTTCAGGTAACCTGTGCCGTCGAGCCATGGGGTGTTTTGTGTCATGCGTCGCTCGAACTCGGCAATCTTGTCCTCCTGCTGCATGGTCAGGCCAATGTCGTCGAGGCCATTGACCAGGCAGTGCTTGCGGAACTCCTCAACGTCGAATGAGCAGATGGTCTCTCCGTCAGCGTTCTTGATTAGCTGATTGGGCAGATCGATCTCAATCTCACGATTGGCACGAGCCTCGGCGGCGATGGCTTCGAGGTTGTCTTTGTTCTCGATCCTGATGGGGAGCATGCCGTTTTTGAAAGTGTTGTTGAAGAAGATATCAGCGAAGGAGGGAGCGATGATGCACTTGATGCCAAAGTCCAGAAGGGCCCAAGGGGCGTGCTCTCGAGAGCTGCCGCACCCGAAGTTGGGTCCAGTGACAACCAGAGTCTTGGCCTGTCGGAAAGGCTCTTGGTTCAAGATGAAGTCGGGGTTCTCGGACCCATCTTCCTTGTATCGAAGCTCGTAAAACAGTGCGGTACCAAGACCTGTTCGCTTGATTGTCTTGAGGAACTGCTTGGGAATGATGGCGTCGGTGTCAACATTGGATCGGTCCAGAGGAGCCGCAGTGCCCTTCCAGATAGTAAACTTAGGCAGACCAGAAGCGGCACCTCCAGCGCTGGCCAGAGTGTTGGTGTGAGGCTGAGAGTCCTGAGGCTGATCTCCGATCATCTCTCGCTCCTCAGAGTCATCCCTGGTTCGCTCGTCCACATGTGGCTCCTCAGCAGGGAGCTCACGGGGCTTAAAGGCAGATTGGTGGGTGTAGTGTGATAGCTTGCGAACATCTGCAAGCTTACCAACAATAGCGGCAGCAGCTGCCATGACAGGAGACATGAGGTGAGTTCGGCTAAGAGCACCCTGTCGGCCCTCAAAATTTCGGTTGGATGTACTGGCACATCGTTCCTTGGGGGCCAGAATGTCAGGGTTCATGCCCAGACACATGCTACATCCAGCTTCTCTCCACTCAAAACCAGCATCAACAAAGATCTGGTCAAGTCCCTCCTCCTCAGCCTGTGCCTTCACAAGACCGGAGCCAGGGACAACCATGGCGCGCTTGATGTTATCGGCAACCTTTCGCCCCTTTACAACGTTGGCAGCGGCTCTCAGATCCTCAATTCGGGCGTTGGTGCATGATCCAATAAACACCTTATCGACAGGAATATCCTCCATTGGTGTTCCAGCCGTCAAGCCCATGTACTCAAGCATGCGGCGGCCAGCAGCCTTCTTGCTCTCACTGCTAAAGGTCTCAGGGTCAGGGACACATCCGGTGATGGGAACTACATCCTCAGGGCTGGTTCCCCAAGTAATGGTGGGAATGATGTCCTTGGCATCGATAAAGACGTCAATGTCGTATTTGGCGCCAGGATCAGACTGGAGAGACTTCCAATAGGCAACAGCCTGGTTCCAAGTCTCGGAGCCATACTTGGGGGCAAGGGGCCGTCCCTTGAGATATTCAAAGGTGATCTCATCAGGGGCAACCATACCAGCGCGGGCACCACCCTCGATGGACATGTTACAGATGGACATGCGAGCCTCCATGCTCAGGTTGCGGATAACAGAGCCGCAAAACTCAATAACGGCGCCCGTACCTCCGGCAGTTCCGATCCTGCCGATGGCGTGGAGAACGACGTCCTTGGAACTGACGCCAGGGGCCAGCTCACCATCAATCTGTATCCTCATGTTCTTGCTGCGCTTGGTTATGAGACACTGGGTGGCCAAGACATGCTCAACCTCGCTGGTACCGATACCAAAGGCAAGGGCACCGAAGGCGCCATGTGTTGAGGTATGGCTGTCACCGCACACGACGGTGGTTCCGGGAAGAGTGAAGCCCTGCTCGGGACCAATGATGTGGACAATACCTTGTCGTTTGTCGCCCAGGCCGAAATATGTGACACCAAACTTTTTGACATTCTCTTCCAGAGTGACACACTGTGTTCGCGAATCGTCCTCCTCGATGAATGAAGCAATGTCCTTCAGGGCTTTGCGGGATGTGGTGGGGACATTCTGCAGGGTCCAGGGTTAGTAAATGCTCTGTTGGCCACCATTTACAGTAGCTTTCGGTTGATTGGCAATGCATACGTGATCAGTGGTTGCAAGAGTGCAATCAGGTCTCCGGACTTTGCGGCCTGCATTTTCGAGACCCTCGAAGGCTTGCTGTAGGTAATTGGTTAGCGGATGTTCGGAACATGACGTCGATGGTTTGGAGAAGTTAACTTACTGGTGATGTCACCTCGTGGACCAAGTGCCGGTCTTTTGGCCAACTTTGTCAGTTCACTGCCCATAAGCAAAATCGAACGCACATAAACGTACCGATGTAGAGGAGAATTGTGCCATCGAGCTTTTCGTCGACGATATGTGCCGAGAACACCTTATCGTAGAGGGTCTGGGGGTTACCCACGGGAGCAGGCATTTTGAAGTTTATAACCACTCTTAGTGGATAGCTTTAGACAGTAGTACTGGAGAGTGATGAATGACTCTCGTGAACAGGAGATATCACGAATGCGGGGTGAGAAGGTATATAGTTGATTGTAGAAGAAGAAGGAGGTAGAGTTGATGGAGTTGTGAAGGTGAAGAGAGGAAGCTATGGGCAACACCCCGCTTTGAACAGGGTAACAGAGGAAATGATGCAGCTGAAGAAAGAAGAAATCAGGAATTGGACTGGAATTACCTAGAAAAAAAGAGGCGTCTCTTCCTGGGGTTTATCAACAAAATTTCACCTGAGCGCCCCTCCTGCCCAATTCCACGAGCTTCATAGAAATTGGTTCGAAGGCGCCGATGATCGGAGGGGTCCGTTTGCGGCCGTCAGCAATTGGAGCTCACCAAGAGGCCAGAAGCCCCAGGACGGGCGCCAGCGCGGGGTAGACCCACAGCTGCCTCCTGCACTGATTGCTAAATAATTGGTTGCTATTGGTTGCTCGTTGATCGCTGCTTTTTCAACCTCCGATGTCAAGAGTCCACGACCTCCGATTGCCTTTCAGTTTTGGTCCTTTTCGAAACTCCACGGCTCTACCCTGGTCTAATTACGACATTAATTGGCTTGGCCTCTCTCAATGCCGAGTCTTAGACCTTTGCAAATTAGCTCATAGCACCAGGTTTCGGTTGGCTCTTACACGGTGTGACCTGAACATGAACCTTATGAGTACGGAAAGCCAGCACAGCTTGAGACATTGGAGAATCAATGCGAAGTGGACTGGGACAGTTATTTTCACAGTACCCATGCGATAATCAGGGTACCTATTCTGTATTGTAAAGTCGTACTGTGTATTGTCTATTTTTACCTCCCTCCGCATCCGCCATCGGCGTGCGGCTTGCCCCGGGCTATGTTGTCTCCGGCACCGGTCCTTTCCCGGGTATCCGCCCGGCCGTTGTGTACCTAGTCGTCCATATAGACTCCGGTCAAGCTCCGCCGAAACATCGCCAATGCCTCGTCAACTGAACAATCCCAGTCCTCTTCCCTGCACTTCATTGTGATTGCCGTTAACTCCATACCCCAAACCATTATCACCAACAACCCGAGTATAAGGGGCAATGCGAGACAAGTGCTCGCCAAATCTGTCCAGGCATCGCTTTCTCGATCGGTACCTCTCCAGTACGGGGAACTGCAATCAAAGACAGGCTTCACCGCCTTCCAGTACAATCTCAAAAGCTGTATGTTGTACTCCTTGATCGTACACAGAAACTCCTTGATGGCATCCCACAACCCTCCCGTCATACCCTCCTGCTGGGATCTATTACTGGAAAGATCTGCGATGCCGTCTTCGGCGTTCCACTGTCTTGGAAGATTGCCTGGAACGTGCATCCCGGGATCCGCTGCTCGATTGCTGACTCCTGGCATATATATTTGAGATAGAAGATCCAGATTGCTCAATGGAGTGCTGGCTTTCCGAGGAATATTCACCGTGTTCTCCCCCTTTTCGATTTTCTTGACGCCCAATGTGCAAGTGGATGTTGACAAACTGCTGCATCGTTCCTGCATTGCTGGTACCTCTGTTAGTTCCTCCATGGTGTCGCACCCTTGTGCCTGTGGTGGATTTCTCGACTCCTCCAGAAGACTCTCCAATATAGTATTGATCACTTGAATCTCTTTCGCCGACGCCGATTTCAGCAATGTACTCAGTCCGCGATTCTCTGGGGAAGCTTCCAAGCTGTTTGGTGTTGTGCCAAATCTCTTCAGGTTGTGGATTACCCGACTTAGCCTGCGTTTGCGCTGGAGGCCTTCCCCGGCCTCTTGACCTCTCTTCGGGGGGTATTTCGATTTTATCTGGTCGCACCCAGTAGTGATGGTGATGTTTGTGGATGCAGACGCCCCCTTGACTTCGCACCTATTCGTGATGTCGTGATTCGCGCTCTGCGCCCAAACCCGCTCCGTTATTTGATCTTCGGTCACGGGTTTCGCGTGGACTTGATGTAAGGATTGGGAAAGACTCCCTCTGGTTATACGGTGTCTTGTTTGTGTTGTTTGTCCGGTGGTTTTGGGTAGGTTCTGCAGCCTCTCTTTGACTGTAGCTTCCTTCAAGGGAAATGGAGGAGCGGTGAGGGGATCTAGAGTTGCTGACCGCTTTGTCTCGTTCTGGGGCAGTGGGCCGCTTGTGATCCCAGCTTTCATTGTTCGTCTCCGGAGCAGTAGGACTGTTGGAGACGGTGTTGAGTTGTTCAGTGCCTCTTGCTCCCAACTGGACCGTATCTTTGAGTTTCCTGTTAGGTGCGGGTTCTATACACGCCCTGTGAGGACTTGCTGATGGGATGTCGAGACTGGAGTGTGTTGGCACTGGCTTTCTAGGGAATTTGACGCGGTCTGTTCCAATGTTGTCGGGAGGGTAATGGATTTCTCGTGGGTGATCGTCAAATCTTGCACGTAGCTTTCTGGAATGCTGTTCTCGTGTTGGCTTCGTATCTCGATCTTGCTCTTCACTAGTAAGTGGTTGGTGCTTGATGCTGTGAGGTTTGGTTTCATCGAGAGATCTGATGAAGAGTCCTTCCTGATTGACACTCGAGGTATCTGGGTTCCCCCCGGTTCTATTGCCCCTTCTAGGCCCTTCTCTAAAAAAGAACTGGAGTGCTGGTCTTGTTCACTGTGGCGCGCCAGTGATCCGCCTGCCTCGTAAAACTTCTGGTTCCCTTGCAGATGTTGTGTCTCGTTGGCAGGCGTTTGTATCTGTGTATCATCGTGCGCGGGTGCGAGGAAAGACCCTGGGATCTGATCTCTGTCTAGCCTGGGCTCGCTTGGGTTATGGAATTTTATGTCATTCTCGAAAAGCTCCAAGGCTGAAGGAGATGGGTTTGCCAGGCTGCGTCTATGAGGGGTTTTGACCACTGTGTCAGATGAGTTGGAACCTTCCTTGGGTCGTACTGCAGTCGGGACTTCTTCATCGGACGATTCCTTTGGGTTAAAGTCGATCAGCCCTTCTTCCCTTGCCATATCTAAGTCTCGTCGTGACGGGCGCCCTGCATCGAAAGACGGATTCAGTTGGATGTGTCAAGGCGGAGGTGGCATAAGTAGATTGGAATACTTACTTGAGAATACTGAAGTACTTCTGTGCGATTGGGCAATTGGGCTCAAATCAGGTTTCTGAACCGACGACCACTGGTGTGTCCCCCTTCGCCATTTGGCAGTGGCAGAAGCTGCCAGTTGTTTCTCTGCTTTCTCTTTTCGTCGTGCCTTGGCGACTTCGTGGTCAAGATGTATCTTGACGATTTCAATCTCGGCCTCCTTTCTTTCGGCAGCTGATAAAGTGCTCTTGGCCTGTGCCTCTAGGTTCAGCAGCTTTTGTTCCGTTGTCGAGCTCAGCGTACTCTCTCCACTGTCCGATGTAAGATCAAGAATACCCGTCTGCGGATTGACACCTTGAACACCCAGGTAATCTCCGCTCTCTCTCAAACTTTCCCGGTCCTCCCGTGCTTTTCTCCTTGCCTTTCGATTGGCTTCTAGAACTTCTAATATGCTAGGAGTTCCTTGAATGGCTGCCGCAAAGGACTGAGCTATGGAGGAGCGCCTCATAGGTTGCTGTTCTTTGCCCTTCTCGGCTTCTATACTGTCACTCTGTTTCTTCTGACCACGCTTCTTGCCTTTTTCCAGGGAACCGAAGTCATTCCATCTGCGATAAGTCGGCAGTGAAGGCTCATTCCATTTGTCTTTAGATGCGGGTGTTGGTTCAGGTACTGCTTCACCTAGGTTTTTTGGTGTGTTCCAGTCTACAAGACGATCTGAACCCCCGGTTCTGCTGCGTTGACCCCCTCGGCGATTTGAAGCAGAGCGATGCTGTGTCGATTCTTGATCGTTGCTTTTGTGTTGAAGTTGAGATGAGGAATTATCAGCAACCGCTCCAATTTCCCGACCCCCGTTGTTTCTCAATGTCCCCCCTCTCTCTGCACGATGGCTTGGAAGTTTGTTTCTGAACCAATCTCCCACATCCCCTAATGTGGCACTCCGAGTAGTTTCCTGTCTCTCCTTAGCTAGTTTACCCAAATCTCCAAGTGTTAGTCTTCTCTCGGAATCATCCATGTGTCGTGGCAGATTCTGTAGACGTGAAGGCAAGAAAAGATGGTCAGACAAGGCTGCCCTGCGGCGTAATGACGACCAATGTGGTTTCTTAGACATGTTTAGGTGCAAGCAGCCGTGTCGCTGATGAGTAACCTTACTCTTGTTGATGGTTCAGCCGTTGATTAACGATAGTATAGGGGAGGGAGCTATTAGTGATTGTAATGTATTCTCACCTGTGAGACGAGAGGCGCTAGGTATAGATAGCAGTTATGAATACGAGGATCAACAGTATTCGTCGAAGAAAAAAATTCGTCACATCGAGTGAACCATGGGCATGTATCCCGAGAACCCGTCAACTTAGCCTTCCTCGTGTATGCCACAATGATATTTCAAGGGAAACCACAACGAGTGCATGCAATTCTCCCACCTGCCAACGCTTCTGATATCCCTTATGCTTGACACATAAAAACGGTTCATATCAGAGCAGGCAAAGATCATCAAATACAAGCTGACGATGGAGATAGGTGAAGGGGATTCAGGGTATTCCATGGTATTTATTCAGAAGCCAGACCTTAACGCCAATCTTTGCTATTTGAGGCTACACTCAGTTTCGATGTGGTTAAATGTATTAACGAGCAAGATAATAATTGGAAAGCTACCATCGAGGATGGCGATTATCCGAGGGTGCTTGTTGCCGACCCAACCCAGCAAAGGGGTTGCCGCCTCCATTAGGCCTTGAACCTGTCAGACGGCGACCGTCAAGCTTTTTCGATGGCGTTGTTGCTCCCCAGTTTCGTTGCTCGTAGGCTGCCATTTCTCGAGAGTTCCGCGGAGATGCTGCTTCCTGAGGATTGAGTTCATTAAGACTGGTGGCCTTCTTGAGGGGTGACTTATTATGGGTGTGGATGCCCATGTTTCCACCAAAGTTCATTCCCTGAACTCCCGAAGATGTCCCAGTTGATGTATAGCCTGCAGGCAAACTATGGCGAGGTACGGTGCTTTTCTGGCTGGTAGCGGGTCTAAAAGCTTCCGAGCGTCTAGTTGCTGTGGGAGGCGTGAACATGTGAGGCTTCATTACGTTGTTGGAGGTTGGGGTGAGGGATCGTTCCTCAGGGGTATGATCCGTTCCGGTATATGGGTTAGAGTGGACCTGGAAACCATGGCGAATCTGAACTGTAGGGGTCCCAGTCTGCACAAATTCTTGATAGTCGTCGGGCTGGTCTGTCGAGAACTGTGTACCGATATCGCGCACCGTAGGGTGAAGACGGGGGTGGACAAACTTGGTATCGTACTCTTTCATCACTTGCTCCTGAATCACGGCCTTATCCTTTGCTTGTTGCGCAAATCGAGAACAGAAGAAGAGAAGCTGAGCAGAAACAAGGGCCTGCAGAATGAGTGTATTCAAAACCGTCACACTTGGTCGGGGGTCGAGAGGAGCTAGAGGAAGGAAGATCATGTACACCAAAACATGCCCAGGGCCAAAGAGACAAGACAGGCGCAAGGACACTGGCAGAGGATCCCAGACTGACAACTCCCAAACATCTGATGTCTTGTCTGGGTGGGCTCGCGACTCGGCAGATTCTGGTGTTATCAGATTTGCGAGATAGCTCAGGGGCGTCGAAGGCGATGCGCTCGATTGGTTCACTTTCACACGTCGTGCAGAAGGCGTCGAAAGCGGCCTGTCGACCTTGGCCAGAAAGAGTCGATACTTGCGCGTTCGCGTAATCGTGTAGAAAGCATTGGTGAAAGAGAAAGCTATGAGGGCCCATACCAGCGGATAGATCTTTACAATATATGCGATTAGCCTCAATATGATATACAGCAGTCCGACCGAGAAGACGCGAACTTACCAAGAATGATAGCCACCCTGAACTGGTTTCATCACTGAAAATATCGTCACTTGGGGAAGATGATCCTGAGTTCGCGCGCGCAAGTAAAAAGACGAAGTTCATGGCAAGGCCCATTTGTGTCCCAACCGAAGCTGAATCCCAATCTCTTGTTTCCAGCTCTTCAGATAGCCAGAGCAAAAAGTCCATGGGGTTGATAGCAGCCATGATACGCTCTCCGAGCGGCTGCCGGCGAACTAGACGTGGCATGTTGAACACACTGCAGGGTATTGACTCCTTTGAAATTGTGTATTCGCGATCGCAATACCAGGGAGGAGAGTTGCGAGTCCGCACTAAAGTAATAAAGAAAGAGAGGCGGCTACTTGGCCGGATGTTGTTTACTTTGAGCTCACTGTTGCTAAGGACCAGGTCAATTCTTTGTTCACTAGTACAGTACCTCCTGCCCCAAGCTGACCAGTAGAAACCCAGTGGAGGCTGCAGCATCCACCTGACGTGGGGATCAAGCAGTGCCTACGGTACCTTACTCGCAATGGTCAGAGCTTCCAGGTTCCCAGGCGGAGCGGAACTTCAGGCGCCGACCTCCTCGTAGTTGGTTGTAACTCTAATCATCAACTCAGCGCCATCAACACCAACAAGAGGGACGTGTAAACACAAGTCCACATTCATCAAGATGGCCTCACAAGCAGATTACAAGGACCGTCAGTTCCTCGCGGTCATCGGCGACGAGGTATGAGCTGCAATGAAAGGCTCCTTGTTCACAAGCTTGCGCTGACGTAGCTCTCATCTAGGACTCCGTAACAGGCCTACTTCTCGCGGGTATTGGCGTGAGTCTCAATCACTGCTCAGTCCCTTTACACATGCTAACTCTATTCAACAGCATGTAACGACAGGCGCCGATGCTCAGAAGAACTTCCTCGTTGTTGATGGCAAGACCGACACAGCTGCTATTGAGTCCGCGTTTGATCGATTCACTGAGGATCGCAAAGATATTGGCATCGTACTCATCAATCAACATGTCAGACAATGTTCCGACTTATTTTGCCGCTGAACTAACTCTCCTGAAGGTCGCCGACCGAATCCGACATCGCATTGACACCTATACCGCGGCTTTCCCTGCTGTGTTGGAGATCCCAAGCAAAGATCACCCCTACGACCCTGAGAAGGATAGTGTATTGAGACGAGTGCGACGTCTTTTTGGAGAGTAGGGGACATCGTTTCACTGGGCGCAAGGGTTTGTTTCGGGATAATGGAGCGAGCACGGTATAGAGGCAGCAGTGAGCATGGCTGTACATGATTTGAGGTCGGCACTACGTTTTTCTTCTTCTTCGACCGCAGGGCAGTTCCTCCTACAGAGATGCAAAGTAGAGCACGATGCAATGGACTCATTATCAGATATGCTAAATAAATCTCAAGCCGCTGCAGGTTGCCCCGGAAGAGCTAGAAGATTCGCCAAACCAAACGTTAACCTATAACCCCATGAGAACCTGCCCAACGATAAGTCATGCCGCCATGTGTATGTTATGAATGCGCCATAATCCTAATTACAGATCGCTGCCGAAAAAGCCCTTGCTGCTACGAGAGAAAGTGACAGTTGCCGTGAGACAGGTAATTTGCACATCATCGGCGGTGAAGACGTCGGCTAGAACAGTATATTTGCCCTGGAGCGAATTAGAAACAGGCATAGGAGAAGCAAGGAATAGTCACATACCGGAGGGATCTCGGCAGGAAGGTCTACAGTCTTGGTGATCTCGACTTCACCAGCCTCGACGGGACACTTCAGGTCGACATTGCCAATCTGCTCGCACAGATCGGCCTTGGTGCTAATAAGGCGAATAAGTCCATACTTGACAGTCAGAAGAACATAAGCATCCTGCTCAATCTTCTGCTTGACTATTCCCTTAGCCTTGATCAAGAGTTCCTGGCCGCTATCAAGATGTTAGTCTCTCAGGGTTGTGCAAGGATAAGCAGATGAATCGTACGCTTTGGGGGGGTTAGGAGCAAGGTCGACCTTGTCAATCCTGATCAGGTCGGCAGTATGGTCTCCAGGGCACAGTTCAAGGGGAGAGTCGCCGGGAATCTTGAGGTCGTCGCTGATAGTAACATCGGGAGCCTTGCCATTGAGAACGCTCAAAGCCGCCGCTGGGGCCAGGCATGCCGTCAGACATGCGGTGATGGTAGAGAATCTCATCGCGCGGGGTTATCTCGCGAAGTTTGAATAGCTGTGGGATATGTTGATGTTTGCGAAAATAATACGAAGCAGTAATTAGATGACGGAAGTCGTGTGAAGATGATGAGAGAGTCGTTATCAGGGCAGAATGGTGGATGGCGAGTGGCTCAGTGTTGAGTGCGTCATGGGACTTATCCTCCACTTTTTGGCCCAACGACTGGCCGAGAGCGGCTGGAAATTGATGCCTTACCGCCTTGCAGATGACCGCGGGCTGCATCCGAGTGTACTAAGAAGCTACATACCTTACCTTATCATGGAGGCAAAAGTCTAGAACCAAATGATTGAATCAAGTCTCGAGCATGAAAGCCATTATAATAAGTGAGGAAATGAGTTTGCATGGCAGCCAAACAAAGCGTATACTGTTGGCTCTGGGCGAATTATCAATTTGCATTATCCTCAGAGTCAAAAGCTTACTACCTGCTTCCTGCTCATTCTCATGCAGGTTCCTGTCTCACGTTTGTGGAGGTGGAACATTCAATGTCGAGTTGGAAGTCCAGCCTCCTCACTTTCCAATCACATGGAGCTATCCCACGTTTAGCGTTGCTGACCGACACGACCTGAGGCACAAAGTCGAAGCCTCGTGCACGGGCCATGCTATGGCGTCGGTATATAAACGCGCTTTTCTTCCAACTCCTTTTAAACTCTTCATACTTACCTTGCCTCAGGAAAGCCAGCTCAAGAATTGGCCTTTCTAGTGTAGAGGGCCTGCATTGCACACCCGCGGAGTCACTCTACTCTCTATTGTCCTTCGGGACCATAGGGGGCGGAATTTTTGATTTATCACCCTCTTTCATTGTGATCTGCTGCTTGCGGCGGGCATGAGGAAGGAATATGTGAAACCTGCTTTCGAAACCTGAATGCGATTGCTTCCCCATCTGACAATTACCGCGCTTGCTGGCCGATTGCTGTCACGAAGGAGGACGGGTCTCACTCACTATGGCACGTCGCAGCGGCATACCACAAGAACGACTTCATCAGTGGGTCACGGTGAGACGCGTCGGCTTTGAGCTGGTTGCCTAGTGTCGCTATTGGCGCAAGGCGTATCAGCGGGAGCTTAATGGCATTTTCATGTTTTTGACAATCCGTATTTTCACGCTGACCTTTGCCGACCGGTTGACCCCTGCCCGTGCCCTCGAGTCGAATTCCGTCACTTGATATCGCACTGTATGTACCATGCTGAGGGAACACAAGAAAACTCGGGACATATGCCATAGGTAACAAAAAAGAATTGGCCCATTCTAGCAGAAACTTCAACCAGTCTTTGGATTGGCGAATTTTGGCATCACTGGCCAAGGCTTGAAGTTTTCCTGATCCCTGATGCTGTGTTATCTCTGGTGCAACTTTCCCCACTTCCGTACGTGTAAGTCTTCGAGGCTAAGGTTTCGTCACGACGGTGGTAGGGGGGCAGCTAGGTTTACCAGTTCAGAGGAAGAAAGTCACCTTTTGGCTGTTGGTGCATGCTTCGCGTTGACTGCCACCATTCACCAAAGACTCAAGCTGTCGAGTTCGAAGAAAGCGGCCACAGCAAGATGCAAGATATCTATGTACCTAGGCAGCGCTCTGCAAAACAGATATTTGTAATTACAGCAGTTCAGCGTTGCACTTGGATCTCATATGTACACAGGCCTCCATGCCATGGTCATCCAAGCATGGGTGCGAATACGGGCGACATCGCGAGACAGACACGACATGATAGTAATGGAAACTTATTGCACATGTCCCTAGATATCCTGAACAGACTGTGGGACGAGCACATTGGCGTCTCTAGGAAAGCCATTATTTAAATGGTACGTTTTCGGCTCTTATCGAGGTTCTCTAGGGGACTGCAAGAACGCATGAACCTCTTAGGTTCTCGATAGGTGTACTCGGACAAGATTAGTATGGTAGAATAAACACTTTCCCGTTCGCACCCTTCGTTCATTATATATGTAAGGAGTCGTTTTGCATCTTGGGCTTCCTGTCTAAATGTTACCTTTGACAAAATGCAACGCAACAGTCGCTCCTTTAGCACCAAGCAATTTGCACGGTGGTGATGACGCGACTTTCACAGCCTCCTAACGCAGATTCGCATGCACAATGTAATGAACTTGGAACAGCCCGCGCTGATTGGCTTGGAGGTGAAAAGCCTGATTGGTATCAAGCCTGCTCCCTGCAAAACAAGCCAGTCACTGGCAGCAACAAGGATATGCCGTCCTTGTCAAGCAATGTCCTCGCATACAGTACGAATAAAAGGTCTGATAACACTAGACACACTGTGCTAGTAAGCTACCTCTACGCAGTAACCTCTTTCCCTTTGATTACATCTTGGTTAAGGCAGTCTGGTCTGGATTTCGATATTATTCATGAAGGTTTAGAAGTGAATGTCGTAGCCAAGATCATAATGTCATACACTCGCATCAAGTGGCCAAGCTCCTTGTGCGGAACTATCTCGTTCTTCTCATCTCAAACAAGTCTCTACTCCGTACGCGGCGAACAACGTTTACTTTAGACAAAAAAACACTACTACCTAATTTAGGCACACGGTATTGCTCCCCTAAGGTTCCTGGGACTTACCTCGGCGGCCTCAGGTTAGCTTAACACTAACTTAGAATGAATGGTTTCTCGTTTCACCAGGCATAGATTATTTATGGCGGGTGCCAAATTTCAGATACCCCACCCATCCCCACTGGAAGCCCACCAACCATAGTCATTTCTTGGGATAACAAGCCCAGCTTCAGCTGTCATCTGCTGTTTATTGTCTTCGCCCGGCTCTGAGACATGCTCAGGTTACGTGCCTGATTCCCTGAAAGTGACCGTCGTCATTTTGCCTTTGAAAATCTGGTAAAGCCCCTCCCGACTCCTTCGCTTCCCGTTCATACCGAAATGCTCAACTCCTAGTGTCGGCCCATCACCAAAAGCAAAGCAGAAAGCATAGCAAAGCAGACTCGATAGACTCGAAAGATATGGCTTGACTTTCTTTATCTTGTTTCCATCACCGTTCCTCTTACACATACTATCTCAATCGATACTCGAGTCTCAACGGACTTACTCAGTGACAAACAAGCCCCTGGCTGGCTACGCCAACGCCAACAAAATCTCGCCGTACGCAATTTCCAGCAGAAACCCTCTCCCCTCCGCTCTCTTGAGTTTCCTTCCCCCCCTCCTTAACCCTGTGCTCAGGCGCAACGGGACAATATTTATTATTAGTGCCTCAGGCCAACAATGCGCCCTGCGTGCCCTGTTTCCTGCACTAAGAGTTCCCCTTATCCACCGCCAGTCAAGGTTTGGTCTAGCGCCAAATTTTGGTTATTGTCTCGTCTCTTCTCTTCCATGTCTCTCTGTCTCGTCTTTTCTTTGGGGGGCCACTGTCACTGGAGTGGGAGTGTCCCCGTTCCTCACTCGCACACTTCCTTCTCAGGAACTTCTGCCCAATCCAGCCCAGAAGCACCAGGAGAGGATACCAAAAACGGTCCAGTGACCCATTCGATTTTTGGCACCCTCTTATGCTATCACTGCTGCTTCTGCGCGCCGAGATTGGGTGGGAGCCATCAAGAGAATGAGACGGGAAGCGTGAGCCGCTGATGAGGTGAAGACACAAGAGGTACGTACTCTTGTTTTCTGCCCTTCCGTTACCTTACCTGAGGTGCTCTCCTCCCCCTCTTAGCCAACTGGAAATGGAACCCCAGGCAGGTCCCAGGTCGGTACCTCAGTACCAGTACCAGCCCAGCCCAGCCTACCACCAGTGAGCACCAGCACCAGCACCAGCACCAGTACCGCACTTGTCTTGAAGCACTCCCGGGCTGGTCGTTCCTCCCCATCCTCTTTCTTCCCATCACCCACCCTTCTTCGTGCAGTCCACGATCTTCAACCTTCACTTCTCGTTATCTCCATTCTGCTTCAAGCGCTCCTTGTGTATGGATTGTGTTTGAGTAGTCTCAAATCTTGTTTCTCTTGATTTTTCCATCGAGTTTCGCCACCTACACATTTAATCTTCGTCTCCTCCGCGCTCGACACCTCGACCATAACTCGTCTCAACCCTGCCGTGACCGATCACAACGAGATTTGCGAAAACACAAACCGACCGACCGTGTCCCCAACACGCCTCCGACTCACGTCTACACTTCGTATTCGACGTCTTCTTGTCAACTTGATCACGACTGTTGACTTCGTTTTCCCCGTTGTCGCGCCGCTGGCCCTCCACCCTTTGTGTCGACGCCTCGACCTGCCTCGAGTCTCTTGTTCGACGATTGCGATTCCTGGCGGTCGGAATACGATCCACCCTTGTCCTGCCGAATGAGAATACCTTAAACCTCTCTGGTTCTCGACCCCTTCTTACGGTCTTCCCGGCGCGCCATCTAAACGGCGTCGTCATGCTCCAAAGACCGCGACAGTAGATTAGCACATACCCCCCTCAGGTGTTCACTACATTATCTCTAGCACAGATTATGACCGACAGACCAGCGCCGCTGTCTACGCATTCTGCGACTCCTAGTCAGATCGCCCCTCTTTCTCTTTCGGGCGCAACGCCTAATGACGAAGTTGCCCAACTGATTGAGGGAGCGGAAGAAGAGCCATACACTATCAAGTGTATATGCACCTTCTCTGTCGATGATGGAAACACAATTTATTGCGAGTCGTGTGATTCGTGGCAGCACATCGACTGCTTTTACCCTGACAATCGAGAGGAAGCCGTGCGCGAAGATTTTGCACACTCGTGTGCAGAATGCAAACCGCGCCCTCTCGACCGTCAAAAGGCTTATGATCGTACACTGCGCTTAATAAATGGAGCAACGGACGAGCCTGCCGACAAACGAACAAAAAGACCACCTCCCAAAAGCCATAAGAAGAGATCGAGGCCTGCGGAGCTACCAATAAATGGCCATGCGAGTCCGCAGGAAAATGGAAAGCATGGTCATTCTGGAGATCATCACCCTCCTCCCAAAAAGGCGAAGCATCGTTCTTCACACTCTGTCAGTTCTCAGGCTCCCAAACGGAGCCCTTCATACGGAAATGGCCGAACAAATCATGCCCACCCTCCCAGCCCTGCAACTACCCCTCCCGACCTTCCTGATGATTTTCAAATCCATCATTATTCTGAAAAGTTCTACGACCTATATAATGCCAGGGATGTCCCCGAGTCACGGAACAATGCTTTTGCCAGTCTTGCCATTCCTACTGCGCTATCTCGCTGGCTTCGCGAACCCAATACGATGCGGAGTGAAGTTGGCAGACGCCATTCGGAAGTATTCCAGAAGGCTCCCTCAAACTTGGAAGCCAACAAGCCTAAGCTTGAGGTCAGTGATGCAACACGAACACTGGATGATGGCAAAGCTCTAAGATGGAGGTTTCTCAAATCAAGTACACCAATCGAGAAGGATGTACCTCTTGTTGAGCTAAACGGTGAAATTGGGTTCCAAAAGGACTACTGTGCTGAACCTGTCAACCTCTGGGCAGATTTATCTTCGCCTCTCCCGTTTGTCTTTTTTCACCCTGTTCTCCCTTTGTACATCGACACAAGACAAGAGGGCTCTCTTGCTCGATATGTTCGCAGGAGCTGTAAGCCCAACGCCCAGCTTGATACATATCTTTCCGAAGAAAACGAATACCATTTCTGGATCGTTAGCGACAGATATATCTCCGCCAATGAACAAATCACTTTGCCCTGGGATTTCCGACTGGAAAAGAGTGTGGATGCACGATGGCTTCATCTTCTTGGCCTAAGTGACGATGACTCGACCAACAATACAGAAACTCCGGTAGATGGGACAGAATACATGGCAATATCGAATTGGATAGATCGAATTCTCTCCGAATACGGCGGTTGCGCTTGCGATCTGGATAACAACTGTGCGTTCGCACGATTTCACCGTCAGTATCTCTTCGGCAAACCCCAAGGACGTGCGCCAGCAAAAAAGAAATCAAGAAAGCCGAAAACACAAGCCATTTCCCCAACAAACACGGGGCAGACTGTCACCAGTCGAGCCACGAGTGAAGGCCATGTTGACGATGCTGGGGATAATGATAACAGATCCCAATCTGGGTCTATGCGAAGCAAGCCACCAAGCCGTGACCTTACACCTCTTCGCCAAGGATCTTTCGACCAATTAGGCATACTGACTGAGCCAACGGATCGAGACAAGCGGAAGGTTGCTATGGTGGAGGATTCGTTCCGTCGC